TTCCTACAATGTTTAGTTTAAAAATAAATGGGTTTTAACATCAGACTTGATGGACTGGCAGCCATCTTGGATTTAACCTTTCACACCCCTCAGAGGTCAAATCTTAAGGTATGTACCAACTATGTTAGAAATGTCATGCTTTCCCATGAAATGCACAATTTGTATTTATACACTGTAATATATGGACAGTGTCTTCAGACTCTCAGTGAGATCCACCCCTTGCTTCTCTAGACCTCCACCAACTCATCCAAATATGGTCACCTCTGGCTGCAAAAATCCAAGATGGAGATGGTCAAGATGATGTCATATTGGCTTAGTGTTCAAAAAGTTACTTTTGAAATGTAATATATTAAAGATTACAAGTTACCCTATTAAAAATGTAATTAATAATGCAACTATATTAATTACTTACTATTTAATTGCTTATCTAACAAATCTTTTGAACTGAAGCTGAAAAGTACTAAAAACTAAAGTCTATAAATACTGTACATACAAATTGCTTTGCTGACCCATGTTGTCCAGATATATGACAAAGGAAGGCATTCCCTGCACAATCAAAAGATCCAAAGTAACAGAATGAATGTTATATTGTACATACTTTCTCAGCTTTTTACCAAAAAGAATATATTCACCAAGCGGCAACCTCTGATGCTAAAAAATGAAGGCAACACAGAAGTGCTAAAAACTGCAGTGCTTAAATGACCACTTGAGGCTGGCTCCAGAACTCAGTCAGTCCATACAGACCCCCATGTTAAAATGTCTAGATTTATAGCAGAAATAAACATGTTTTCAGCCTGATACAAAAACCACTTTTGGTCTCTATAGCTAATTTCAACATTCATGAAAACTATGTATAACTCACCCATTTACATTTTATAACACATAATTAAATGACAATCTGTCTGGTGATAGTGTCCTCAGTTTCTCAGTCAGATCACTTCTGGTTCCAAAAAAAACAAGATGGCGACAGCTGAAATGACGAACTGGAGGCTTCGAAATGGGAGTCCAGAGACCAATGGGTGATATCACGGTAGTGTACTGTAGTGCTAATTATAGAGAGGTGTGTTCTTAACTCTGTGTTCACACAATAATTTAGTTGAGTTTGTAAGAACCAGGTGGTGGAAGAGGTGTTCATATCATTGTTGAAGTTAATGTAAAAAAAACCCAAACAACTCTATAGTAATTACTGCTGCTGTCAATAGTTAATTCTGAAATGTTGTGGAGTAAAAGTATAGAGTAGTATCAAATGGGAGAACTGAAGTTAAGTACCTCAACCTTTTTACTTAACTACACTAAATGTATTTAGTCAACCCAGTCTCACCCCAAAGTCGTCGAAAATCAGCGCTTGATCAGTGAAGCTGTCCTTTCATGTAAGCATGACACACAGCCAGTCGGGAAAACGTGGCTGGACAATTACTAAAGTTAAGGCATTGGAAGTAGTTGCATCTAACAGGCTGAAGTTGACATGGCATCCCAGAATGTCAACAACCAACACACTCAGGGTAACTTGCACGTCATATCTGGAATTGTTGTGGAAATTAGCCTTGAAAGAATTCCACCCAAGCTTAATAATTGAAAAGCAATCACTTTAAACTAAATATATATTAGAATTTACAATAATGACTATTCTCTTTTAACTGGAAATTTTATTCTCCACAATTCTTGAACTCTGTCTGTTGAGTTTCACCTGGCCCATTGAGCTTTGAGTAAAAGACCATAGAGACAGGTAGAAATGAACTGAAGTTAATTTAATGGACATGGATTTATAACACTGTATCCACTTTCCTTATAATTACCACCAGATTTCATAGTTCTTCAAAAGAAACTAAGAAATAACAGTAACTTATTAGTTTCTTTCTAGGGAATTATTATTAGGGAATTATCATTTAATTCATTGCATTAAATAAAAGCATATGTACACACTCAAACTTGCCAAGAAGCACCTAAAAGCAGAGGTCCAGTAGAGTCTAACTGGCTGAATTCTGGATAGAGAAGCAGAGCAGTACTATCCAACCCCTGCTGAAACTGACTGGATATTATTGTCAGATCAAACATCATCTGAAATCCCTCCATCCCACATGCTGGAAAATAACAAGCATGGGTGTGACATCGCCAAGAGAGAATGATTTCAAACACTGCATTGCACTGCATTCAAAGATGTGCAGGGGCAGTGAGTGATTGCATCTGGCCCCCAGCACAGTGAGTTTAAACGACCACACATCCATGTTATGTCTGCCAGGGCTTCTCTCTGCCAGATCTGACTCCCGCAATTTGAGGACCTCACAGAAAGAAGTGAAATTAGTTGGCCAGCTAATCCTGCGGATCAGGCTTTTGTGACTGGGGCAAGTTGGGCTCTGTTTGGCGAGGGCTTAGCTCTCGGAGCAGTTCGAAATGATCAGCAGGGTTTAAAAAGAGGCTCCACAGGGCCGCCGGCAAAACCAATAAGGGCCAGGCCGAGGCTGTTATCTGGCAGTAAACTGACACTGGGTAAGCTGTCACTTAAGGCCAAAGTCTATAACACAATACTGAGGAAAGGGCAGTCCTTTTTAGAGTGGCGCGCTGACCAACAATAGGAGCAATCTGACTGATAATGTGCCGACATGACAGAGCCATTCCAGGTCAGCTTCTCAGAGAGCTTTAATCAGAAAAACAACTCCAAGAGGCTTTTAACCAAATCACTTTTCAGCATGTGGAAAAACAGCATAATTCAGATTATGTTCACAGAAAAAAAAAAAGCTGTCATGACTGAGAGACATGGACTATCACATACATATTTAGTCCAGGTGTGAGCTCTGAAATGCTGGCTGCCAAACTTGCTCTCACGGGTAAAATCAAAGTCGGTTTTTACAGGAGCTGCACCTTTTTTTCAGATACAAAGCTTCTTATAAAGAGACACACTCAGGTCATTCACTCATGGGTGTGAGATAGAACACGTCCATGCCTGTGGCATGGGCGTCAGCTTGGTGTGGTAAGGTGTGGCAGCCACATTACACATCAGCATAACCCAGTCCAGATTTTTGCTTGTATTTTTGTTCGTTATGAAGGAGAACAAAAGCCAACAATAAACTGTAAGAAATGCATTTATAATCTTTCAAATCAAATCCATCGTGGATTCAGGACTAATATTCCGTCAATATTGTTTATCTGATTTCAGAGGGAAAATACTGGAGAAAATACAAGTTATTTCGGTTCATTATCAGAGTAAAGGTCTCTGTAACTGTACAAATACATTTAAATTTGTACAAATTATTTCCACACAGCCAGCAATTAATTGTGGAGGGATAAATACTGAAACATTTAATTATTCATTATTTTCTGGACAAAAAGTTATCACATTTGAACATATTAAATCTCAAAATACTAGTGGGCTTATAGAATACCTACCATGTGTAGGTTTTCATTTACAGAAGGTTTAACCACATTATTAGATGGGTTTTTCTTATTTTCGCAAAAGAGGAACATTCCTTTATTTTATTCAAATTGTGTTTGCGTTGTGTTTTTCGTGCACAAATTCAACAATATTTAAGGCTTTTATTGTGAAAACAGATTTGATAACACATTAATTAGAATTGGAATTCCATCATCAGTACAAAAGATAAGCGACTGTGATAGAGTATCAGTCATGTTTTTCTCTGCTGTGCTAACACATACTGTCTGGGCCTTTATTCATAGAATCACTTTGACATTTAGGCCCAATAAAAAAAAAAAAAAAAGTCCAATTAGAGAAAGAGTTTGCAGACAGCAGCTGAGTTTCACTCAGACTCACTTCTTTAGGGCTAAATGAGTTAAGTGAGTGGTCCTTGAGAAGACTGCAGCAGGAGACACACCAAAGTATTTTACACTACATTTCTATCCTAAATAGTTTGTGTTTGACAGTTTGTTAAGACTGAGTTTAGCGATTATCTTGGGTTACACACACATAAACACACACACACACACACACACACAGATAGATATAGATATATCTATCTAATACGTGGGTGTGTGAATATGTACAATATATGGAGAAGTTAGCCTGAGTTTAGAAAATCCATCCAGGTGATTATTTGTCACATGACGCTCCATGGCTGGGACAAGCTCACATGGTCAGTAATGTAAACTGAGTTTACAAAAGCTGAGAGTAAAGCTTACAATCAGACAAGAAATAAAAGAGGCCTAGTATTATTCCACCAATCAACAGTCAGCATTTATGTGACAACAAAGCAAAATCCATTCATGAAGGCCGTGACATGCGGTTGAAAGACCCCTGAAAAAGAATGCAAGTGGACCTTTTGACAAATTATTCAAAACATAATATCTTCTTTCTTTCATTCCGATGTATAGTTTTTAGTTTGTTGATGATTAAATGAGTGGAATACCCAGACGATCAAACAGACTATTCAGTCTGGATTTTTAATTCTGGATGTTAAAGTGTGCTGAATCAACTGGAGCCGCTGAGTCTGATGCTCTCAAGAGAAATAATTTTTTCGCGATTAATCTATTCAAATTAAAGTGAGTTGATGTTATTAGACGACAGACCATCACCTGCGCCTGTCACAGCGCCAGAGAGACCGATTTACAATTTAACAGGCTCTGTTTTCAGGATCAAGACTCTCTGCAGACTGACTGATGTGACTGATTACTGTTTGTTTTGGAGACAATTGGCCTCCATCATTTGTTGAAGCTATTGTGCAGAAATGCTTAGGCTTCTCCCGATCATCATCATCATCATCATCATCATTATTATTATTAGTATAATTATTATTATTATTGTTATCATTGGATGTTTCATTGTCGTTTCCTCGTTTTCTTTGTGTGATACGCCTAAGGCTGCATGTTTCTGCGCGCACGGAATCACTCCATAGGCTATTTTCATATTTAGCCCATTTATCTTTTTCTTCCTCTTTCCAGAAAATTTTATTTTGATGCAGTGGTGCACTGGGAGAGCTCCACGCAACATGAGCCCAGACTGACAGACATAAAGATGCATGAACAATGCACAATGTTCGGTGTGAACTGACCGCTGTTGTCCTGGCCTTTACATCCCTGGTCGTGCTGCGGAGTCCCAGAGTCGGAGAGCGACAGCGCTGGGCTGCGGGCTTCACTGTCCGTCAGCAGGTTAAAATCCATAACCAGGTTCTGCAGACAAACACACAGACAGGTCAGGCTTCACCCTCCCAACACACTCAGAGCTAAGTGCAGCCGCGAACCCTTCATGACCATGTCAGCCGATGTCAGGCCGTATTGTTCCTGTCGCATAGGAGCAAATTTAATACCGTATTAATATCATAATTATAATCTGGTGTCACAGCATCCCCACAGCCTCATTTAGCGTTCCCCTCTCTCCACTACAATAATGTTTGAGTTTTCATGTGCATACAGTTTACATTATCATGTTGTATTTTCTATTATATTTCAGATCATTTTAAATAACTCGAGTAATATTTCTATAATAAGGAAAAGCGTAATTATTGCTTATGAACCTGACCTGCTCTGTCACTATTCCTATGTCGTTTAGAAGGATTCATTTGTGTGATCGTGTGTCGCTTCCTGTGATATTTTGAGTAATAACCTCAGAATCTTTGTAAAAGGTAGGCTGCAGATGACAATGATCATTTTGCTGTTAGGGGAGTACTGCAGGTCCTGTGCACTATTTGTCCCCACACACTTTTATCATTTCACTTTGAGTTAGAGGAAGAACTTCATTTGTCATTATATGAGCAAGCATGCAACGAAAGTGCAAACCTCCGTAGTGCATAATACGCATAAATAAATAAATAAATCATTTATAAATGAGTCACTGAGTAAAACAAGGCACCACAATAACAAAATAAACACATTAATAATCAAATAATGCAATATAACGAGGGACAGTGTGTTGGGGTGATTTGGCTTTGAATCAATCATGAGTGTGTAGTGATTTATTCAACGGCACAACAGCATGGGGCACCTATCGAGAGAGCTCCTAGCCACTGCACTGTACAGCGCGCCGCCATAGCCGCCATACTAATGAGTTACTCACCGAAATCTCTAGCTGCCACACTCCAGATGAGTGAGGAGAGGAGTTCATGTATTAATTAATACCCTCATCTGAGACAATGAAAATAAACGAATGCTATTTGCTTCGGGTTTTGCTACAGGCATCCCACCAGTTTGTCAGAACAGAGCCTTAAACAGTTCTGCAGCCTCCTGTAGCTTCATGTTTTTTAGGTAACAGAATACCTAAATATATTATTTTTCAGTTTATATTCTCTTAAACAGACAAATCTAAGACAGAAAGGACGCACTTATTTTGGTTAAGATATAATAACAAAAAAAAAACGATCAAAGATTTTAAGCAGGGTAACTGCATTTATAATTTGGTAATTTATAGCATTTCTAATTCTTCATTTTTCACGATTAGTAGCTGTATCAATGTGATATTTGCTAGCAGGGGTGTAGCACCAAATTCTGGGCCCAATGCATTAGCAGTCGCTGTGGGTCTCCCACCCTTCCTCTCTTGATCCACAACAGTCTTATGCACCTTTTAATTTCTTTTCTTTTCTTTTCTTTTTTTTAATACAAAGTCTGGGGAAAGACATGACAGTATACGTTGGTGCTCCAACAGCAGAAGCAGTCACTCACTTGGTTTATATGTTTAGAGACAAATCCAAGTGCAGGTGCAGACTAAACTACTTTGCACTTTTATGGGTTGAGAGGGGCCTCAGGGAGCTTCCTCTATTTTTTTATACGAAGTTTAGTATTTCAACCGATTTATTCAGCCAATTATGGTACTAATTTCTGAGAAACAAAAAAATTTAAACAAAAACTAACTCAACACTCAACACTGTGTGTGTGTGTGTGTGTGTGTGTGTGTGTGTGTGTGTCTTTTTAGTTTAAGTACACCCTCCCGAACAAAAAGACTCCATACAGATTTAGGTTCCTAAGTGGGGAAAATATCAATTGATTTCAGTCTGTATAGGGGTTTTGTGCAAATTTGTTCAATTTGACAGTGCATTCTGTTTCTATTTTCTCTTTGATCTTTCCTTTCACCCTGGGCTGTGGTTGTAATCTTGATCCCTTTATATGAGCCTGACATAAGCAGCTATAACAAGACCTGCCCTGAATTGACTCTACTGTATTTAGGGCTACATGGGGAGAGCAATAGAGTTATTGCTGTAGAATACTCTATGACATTGCCAAGCCAAATTCTTGCCAGTGAGGTCGGAGTGTTGCTCAGTGGAGCCCAAAAATAGCTAGTCTTTTTTTTTTATAAGAGAGCAGTTAACACAAGGATTATGATAAGTGCTATATTGTAGGCAACTGGACTTGCTTCGCCTCTCTTCCAAGAATCTTCCTGAAGAAGAAGAATTGAATAACTGAAGAAGCTTCTTGGATGAGAGGTTGTTGTTCAGGTTGTTCCTGAAGAACTAAAGAAGCTTCTTGGATGAGATGCAAAACATCTTCAAGAAACGCAAGCAAGTCCAGTTGCCTACAATATAGCACTTATGATTACCATGACCTGGATGACTGAGAATCTTCACTGACAGATAGAATATGTGTGTGTGTTGGGAGGGGGGCACACACAGTCTGTAAAAACTGAAAATTTATGGCTAATACTTTGAAAGTAAAGTTACTTCTTGTGTTTGATAAGACATGCATCCAAAATTGTGCTGCATGTTATCATGTTGTTATTAAGCCTATATCTGTGATGTCAAGTCACACTTTGAAGTTTTTTAAACAGCAAAGCATTATACTTAAGCAACAGTAAAATCAAAGATGTCAAAACACTTTATCAAATGTTTGAAACAATTATCCACAGAGGAATAAAAAGGACGAAGGAGGTGTTAAGTGAAGCCTCAGCCCACCTAAACTCAGTGTGGTGTTACTGTTTACCCTCCTTTTGTATTTTCCAGGACACTGGTGAGTAGCACCTAAAGTTTACAGGTGTAGTGGAAAGTCTTAAAGCTGTCGCATACTACAATGACTCCGTGTCATCGAAGATTTAAAAAGGCAATAAACCTCATCTCTGAAAATCAAACACGGATTTTGAGCCGAGGTTTAACCATCTTTGCTGACTGTTAGGCTGTTGTCAGTCTCTCTGTGTGTAGTTACCATTGTGGATATGAGCTTTAGAAGCAGCAACTTTTCTGGGGAAGGTGTACTCCCCCTCACCTCTCTTCGCCACCAGAGGATAAGCTCCCCCTCTGTGTTTCCCTGCCATCTGTTTGCCACCATGCCAGTCCTTTGTGTGCCAGTCATGTGACTTCTGCTGGGGTTAAATCTGAAGCAGGGGAGGCAGAGTACAGAGCATGGTATGCGCCCCCCCCCCCCCCCCCAAACAACAACAGATTGTATGACTTGGCTGAACTCTTGAACCAGACTCACTGTCACCACTTGAAGTTGTTGAAATGACATTATTTCCCTCTGTGCTCTTTGATCATCAGTATACACTTTGTATCTGCCACTCTCCTTTTAGAGCACAGTCATCCTTTTCAAAGTCCTAAAACATGCGGCGTATTGTTTGATTTATTTAAAATTCTCTCGCTGTGTTATATATTGTCTGTTGTATTTTAATCTGATTTACTTCTGGCTGTCTTAATGCAAATGTAAGCTTTCATTCAAGGTGTCAGAGTCACCGTCCCCACTATGTATTATTTGTAAAACTGTAGAATGAAAAATCCTCTTCAGGTCATTAAAACATCCAAACACAATAGTGACATGACCTCTGTGTTCAGCAGGCACCAAGGACACATAAGGATCCTAAAACTCAACACAAGTCAATGTTATAAAAAAATGATTAAAAACCCATTGTTGAACTGTAGCTTTCGTAAACAGATGTGAAAAGTAAACTCAGACCAAAAGCACAACTTGCAGGAAAGGCAGTAGGTCTCTTTCTCAGGATGAGTGGCATAGGGGTTTGCCAAATAACAGTGGAAAACTACAAGCTTCGGAATTTGGGCAGGATTTTGTTGGAAGAGTTTGATTTGTTCCTTAGTTGCACCTCAACAGACGTGACATATAAATATCGACTCAGAGTGTTGGAGGTCATGCCAGGCCACAAATGTGAATCATTATCATATATTTTGGTCCTGGCCACTTACTGGTAGAATATTTATCAGATTTTTTACAATGGAAAAATGGACATATTCCCTCAGAATACAATAAGATAAATTCACCAATATATGGTCATGGTGGACTAATTTTATCAAACCCCAAAGACAAGGCTTTACATGAGACACCAGTACATAATTTGAATACCACCATTCGATCCACCTGTAAACCCCAATGCACTCAACTTAAAATTTTCTGGAAACAGCTTGCACTCAAAACTTTAAGTTTAGCACAATACAGTAACATGAAAGTGTTGAGTACACCAGACACAAAATAAATGTGTCACATGACCCTTGTCTGACTGGAATTTTACATCAGTTCAACATAAAAACACAAGTTTTTGTGATTGTTGTTGTTGTTTGAGCATTTAATTCTATGTCATATGAAAATAAAAATATTGATTACACATTTTTGTAACATTTTTCTAATTTCATTTTTAAAAATATATTGTCTCACATTTAAACACAGTTTTCTTGTAACTGTAACCCATTAGAACCATTGTGAAATACATAAACATTAATCACTGTGTTAAGGGTAACGTGAGCGATATACAACACATTTAAACACAGTTTTCTTTGGCTTATGACCTTAAACACATTGTCTCATGGCATCCTGGGAAACCTATTAGGCAAAATCAGCTTTATACATTTTAGTCAAATTAACTCAAAACCCAAAAATCGTTGACTTAACATAAAAAATGATATCAAGCTCACAAGGGATGAATTTTTGTGTCAAGTGAACATAAAGTTTTTTATGTCATTTTGACAATCTGGAGCATTGTGTAGTCTTTACAGTACAGTATACACAGTTTTGTTTGGTACCAGCAATGTGAAATATGGCCATGGGGGAAGGAACTTAATACATTTCAATTCAGAAATTTCAGTATCCTTTTCTGTTTGTAAAGTGTAAAGTAAAAGTGTAATTTTTTCACATTCCCACTCTTAATTCATTTAATTAATAAATTCATTTATTGTCTCCCTCTTTGGGACTTTTCCTCTTGTTCATTGCTCATCACTTGTTCATCATTTTTGGATTTCAAAAGCATACCATGAAAATGTGTCCTGCATTTGTGCCCCACTGTCTGGCAGGTTCCCTCGTATCGCAGCTACGCCTGGATTGTGTGTCATGGTTGTGCTGCTGCCGTGGTCCTGCCTGATGCCTCCTATTGCTGCTGTTATTTCATACTTCTACTGTTATTATACACATATAATCATTATTGTCACATATATATACTATTTAATATTAATATACACTTACAACATATGCTACCACAATTACTGTTATTATTACTATAATATTATTACTAAAATTAATGTATTGTAGCTGTTGTCATTACTGTCTGACCTGCATCTCTCTCTGTCTCAGTTTCTCTCTCTGTCTCGCCGTCTGATTATGTATCATTTTGTCCTATGAATTACTGCAAATTTATTATGTTGATCTGTTCTGTACAACAACTATTGCATGTCTGTCCGTCCTGGAAGAGGGATCCCTCCTCAGTTGCTCTTCCTGAGGTTTCTACCATTTTTTTCCCCCGTTAAAGGGGTTTTTTGGAGGAGTTTCTCCTTAGCTGCTGTGAGGGTCCAAAGGACAGAGGGATGTCATATGCTGTGAAGCCCTGTGAGGTAAATTGTTATTTGTGATATTGGGCACTATAAATAAAATGGAATTGAACTGAATTGAATTGAATTGAATTGAATTGAACTGAGTTGAATTGAATTGAAATGAATTTAATTAAAGTTCTTTTGTTGGCTTTGCTGTCAGTACTTTGTTGTGTGGTTGAACAAGAACGATTGATTCTTGTTCAATCTCCACTGATTTGTCTCATTTGTGTGATTTGACATATTAGCAAGCCTCCTCTGATAGAGCTGTAGCTCAATGTTACAGGCAAATTACTGATCTGACAAACACAGCCAACCTTCATGCAATCATCTTTGCAGAAGGATTCTGTTAACTTATTTTAAGAAAGGTCAAAGTGTTTTATGTCCCTTTGAACAAGCTAAAGCTGAGCTTTCTCTTTGTTGAATATAACTCAGCACAAATGTACAGCAAAAAGCAATGAGAGATGAAGTCAACACACAAGCAGCTTACATGTTATTACCTCTTTCAAATTAAAAGGAGACCATAATTTTTGTTTGAAACAGCATTACCTTAGCTGTATGTATGTGTTGAGACATCTCTCTGGGTTTTTTTTACACTCCACAGGACAGGTCCTAGTTGCTGTTGGAACACTTCAGTCAGCGTACTGGCCTGACAGAGCAACAGCTGTCCATTTGTGAGGGCAGAGTCCAGGTCTACTAGCGGCAAGGTCCAGTATTTTGGTCAGAATTATAAATGTGAGCCAGTCCTGAGAGCTAAATCTGCAATGACAGTGATGAGTGGACAGACGGCCTGGTGTCAGTGTGGTGCTGAGAGGCTGGCCGGCTTGGCAGTGAAGGGTGTGCAGGTGATGCAAGCCAGTCATTTTGTCCAGAACAAGGTGTCAGTACCCTCCACCTCCACCCCCTCCCTGTTCCCCACCCTGCCACACACACAGGCACACACACACACACACACACACACACATCAGGGGCGCCACATGATTATATTTCCAAAATCAAGAGCCCCTCTCCCCCTCCCTGTGAGCTCAATATGGCCAACAAGCTATCACTGAGCTAACAAGCAGGCTGAGGTGCTCAGTAGCTGACAGTCAGATGGATCACTGAGCCACTCCAAAGCAGAAATGGTAGCTGTGTATTCGTTGCTTTCCCTCTGTGGTTACACATCCTAGTGTGAGCTAACTCCTGAGTGAACTTCATGAACATCAAAAATGGACCTGAGCTGATTTGATTAGGCTTTTACCCTCCTCTTCATCTAGTTTACCACAGGGCCTGGGCTATTTCCTGGAGCACTTGGGGCACTGAAGCAGTCACTTCTGCCTTCACATCCACCCAACACGCTGTATCATGCTTATTTACTGAAATAAAACACTACTGGAATGGCACTGTAAGTTTCCTCTTAATGCTGAGAGCCTCCTTTTAGAAATGGACGCAAATCAACTGCAAGATGAGTCTCTGGTCTTCATATGCAGCTGTTCAGTAACACCGATTTCATTAAAATATATATCTGCTGATAATAGTAATAATGATTATAAAATAATAATGATAATAATAATAATAACAATAATAATAATAATGGAGGAAAAATCCTCTCATTTTTCGGGAGATTGCCGGGTCCATCTGGCGGTGCGCGCGGAAGTCTCTTGCATTTCCACGGACTGCAGGCATTAGCCCGGGAATTATTCATAAACGCGTCGAGAATTAATTCCCGGGATTAAGAGTTGATTAAGATGTGTGTCACTTTGCTGCCTGAGAACTTATTAAGGGCCTCCTCGAAGAGACGGCAGATGGAATTTCAGTCCAATGTTTGTAGATGTTAATTTTTGCCCTCCTATAACAGCCATTTGCATATGATTGAGGGAGTGAGGAGCAGGCAGTCCTGCAGCAGAATCACTCCTCCGTGCATAGATGGACGGGAAATAATTGGCTGTGCTAGCTAATACAAGTCCATAACAGTGATTAACACAGAGCCTTTCTATATCAACAATTTATTACGGTAGAGCAAGAAATGTATTTCACTGATTTTGACTGTCTATAAGAGGATAACAACCTATGTTATGCAGGATGTATGGAGAAGAATTAAATGAGTCCAAGGTATAAGTATAAATGATATGATGAATATCGTTAAAGTTTCGGCGATAGCCTATTATGAGCATGTTAATTTAGATTTAGAATAAGTTTTTCTTTCACAGTTAATGGTTTTAAAAGAGAAATATAAGGCCTAGAAATTAAATACAAGTCCACCGCTTTGAATTTATGTAAATGCATATTTTTTATCTTCACATTTTGTGTGTTTTAGCAATTTGAAATGCCTTGTTATTCTGTGATTTAATTCCATGATCCAGATGCACTGTGATGTAACTTGCTGGCCTCTCAGCGCAGCGGGCAGTGGTTTTCAGAAGCGCCTGTGTTGCACACGGTTGGTGATAACCACTTAAAGAAATATTTACATTCTAGCCTGAGGCCGAACGTAAATTTCGATTAAACAAATCTTATTTTCATATGTCCTGACCTGGGAACAGATGCAAAAGAGGCTACTAACTGAAGGCCTGGTGGAGGAAATCTAAGCCGGTGATTCTTGCCTTTGATTTTTTTTTTTTTTTTAACAGCGCGAGCTTTAAAACTAACGGAAATTGTTAAGCACAAGGAACTGTATCCTAAACCTTAAAATACGCATCAGGCCTTTTTATATTGAAGAATATAAAATATCATTTCTGGGTTACAACTCGTGCACTGAGGGCTCCGCTTTTTATTTAACAATTTCTAAAATGACAGAATTTTTATTTGGGCCATTTATTTTGGACGAGTAATGCAGAATGGGTTCCATATTTCACCTTCGGTTAGCCACGGTCCAACAACGGGCCGTGAACAATAAGAAACTATTTTTAAAATCAATATTAATCGAAATATACATAGGCCTATTTTTAAAATATACATCCGCTGAGGAAAACCGTAAGATGCTGCTAAAAGATCCAGAAAAAGCTAGAAAGTAGACCTTAATTTTATTTCATTTTATACTACTACTACTACTACTACTAGCTACTACTACTACTACTAATAATTTTAATAATAATAATAATAATAATAATAATAATAATAATAATAGCTATTATTGTTGTTGTTAGGCTATTTTGCTGTTGTTGCTGTAGTTGTTGTTTTTGCTGCCGTTATTATTGTTGTTATTGTTGTCGTCATACTGCTGTTTCCAATGTCAAAGTCACTCATAAATATTAAAATGTTCAAAAAAATGACATGACCTGTTCGTAATCTTTGAAATAGGGATGCAAATATTACAAGCATAAGATAGAAGTTGGGGAAGTGTGTTTGTTGCGCGCGCTCACGTGCGTGCGTGCGTGCGTGTGTGTGTGTGTGTGGCAGGGGGTTCACAGCTTTGTTTTTCTGTCCGCGGTCTCCTGTGGCCCCAGCAAACACCTGCCACCTATCAATTTCCTCCACATCTCCAAATATTTTTGACCTCCCAAATATTTTCACAACGTCCGCCTCTGCGGAGTCTTAGAATTTTGGAGAAAATATGCCAAGCTATAAACATGATAGCCTAATTCAGTAGGCTTTTGTTGGATTGGTCGCTCTGCTTCACACGGTTCTTGCCATTTTTCCTCACACACAGACGGACGGAGAATTTGGCGCTGTACGAATACTTTGTAACTGTTGTCACCGAAACGCCATCACTGTAGCCTAATGTTAATATTAATGTTAATATTGACATTAATGTAACGTTAAATTAATGTAACGTTAAAACGTTAAAATTCAGCAAGGCCCAAATTACATGGAGCCTTTCCACAGAGCCTCTTTTGCTGTTTGAATTAAACGTTTTCTTTTGATATATTTTTTAAATCACGGTGATCATTTTTGTCTAAATGGAAGATGCGATACACACTTTCAAATATGTCACAGTGCCTAAAGTGATGCCTCTCATCAACAACAACAATGTGTTCCGTGGACGCACACCTTAAAGTAAATTCTGCTGTTCAGAATTTCCTTTTCTAGCCTATTTGTTTCAAGCCAAATCCACAACCCTTAAAAGCTTATTCTTGGTACTTCAACTTGTACACGAAGAACTAAGCGTTTCTGGTATGGAAAGCTCCAAGCTGTAGCCCTATCTTAAAAGAGTTAATGAAGCCCCTGCTCTACATCTCGGCTAGATTTTGTCAACTTTTACGCACTAATTTTAAAAAGCGCTTGGTGAATTCCAGGCACTAAGACAAAAAGTGACGTTAGAAAGAGATAGAGGAGTGAGAAGTGCGGTTACTTGCACTTACATCGAATCCCGGTCTGGTTAAATTAATCCGTGGAAAACGCAAAGAGCTTTGCTACAGGCTGATGGGTGTCCTGGACTCAGGTTTGCTGGTGACATGGACAAAAAGTTCCCCGCAGCGTCCAAAAGTCAGAAAAGGCGTCGGTCAGTTTCCTACTTGTTCTTGTTCTTCCCTCTGTGCTGTCAGACATGAAGGCTGTGGAGTAGTGAGGCTTGATCCCAGCACAGAGTATAGGGGGGGTGGGGAGGGGTTTACTTCATGCTAAATATTGTGCGTGACAGGTCCAGTGTAGAAGAGACGGCCCCTACCCTCTCTCTCTTTCGCTCTCCCCCTTTCGTTGCACGCACATGGGGCACATGCGTACGCATAGACACACACACTAAGTGCAAACACACACTCCTCCACCTCCCTCTCCTGTTGGCTCTCTGTCTACAAACAAACCTCTCCTCTCTCTATCTCTTTCTCCCTGCAGCCTCCACAGGGCAGTTGTTTATTTACCTGCACTGTTGTAAGTTGGAATAGCAAAGGGCTGGGGACTTGACATATGGTAGCTTTTAGGTCCAAATTTCATTGTTTTGTATTTCATTATTTATTTCACAGTGATTTTCGAGCTAAATCTAAGCAACAGTTTATTTAATATAAAATAAAAAACACCTGAGAAGTAAGAAACAAAGTTCCCTGTACACTGTAAACCCCAATCAATTCATGACACAACATTTTAATGTACAAAAACTCATCCTTTGTGGGCAAGTCAAAAAATTTTAAGAGTTAATTTGACTAAAATGTATAAAGCGGATTTAACCTCAATAGTTTAAGACCAATAAACAGCACTATCATTGTGCACTTGACATATTGTGGCGTACTGGGGCTAAATGGGTGGTGTTTCCCAACATGCCATGAGACAATGTGTTCAAGGCCATAAGCCAAAGAAAACTATGTTTAAATGTGTTGTAAATCACTCACGTTACCCATTACACAGTGATTAATGTTTATGTATTTCACAGTGGTTAATGTGGTAAAAGATAATGAGTTAAGTCGTATACAACGTTAGTGACCTCCTGCCTGTGTGGATAAAGCTGTGCAGATATGAAATAAAAGAGACTTCCTGGCTCAAAAACCTAAGCTTGCCACAATGAATTTTCATAGTTCAGTGGAACTTAAAGTAGGTGTTTTTATGTTCATATGACATACAATTATATGCTCAAACAACAAAATATTTATATTAAACTGGCATAAAATTCCTGTCAGACAAGGGCAATAGGACAAATTTATTTTGTGTCTGGTGAACTCAAAATTTTTATGTTACTGTACACAGCAAAAAGTCCAGTGTTGAATTAACTCCCACAGAGTTGATTTCAACACCTTTTTCACACTTTGACTCTCCAGAGTCAAATCAACACTTCCGAAATAGTCAAACTGTTAACACTATGCCAGCCATGGACAGGGGTGGACTGGCCATCTGGAGGTTCTGGAGAATCACAGAATGGCCGGTACTCCAGGACGGCCGGCGGCCGCCACACAGTCATCACCGTTTTTTTTTTTTGTTTTGTTTTGTTTTATTCTCCCTGATAATCTACTGTTCCACGTCCAGTCCGCTAGGTGGCAGCCTTTAAATTGGATGCTAGCCGGCCCATAGATATCTATGAGCCGGCCGGCCGGCAATCAAATTGAAGAAGAAGGAAGCGAATACCGTATGCACACTGGTTGTTGTGGGCTGGGCCGAGTCAAAGTCCAGGGCTGTTTTTCAGTCCCAGTCCGCCCTTGGCCATGGACATCCTTAGACCTGGGCATTCCCGGCTATAGCCCCAGATCTTTTAAGCCTCCTTTTTTTGTTGTTGTTGTTTTTTTTTTTTTACTAATAAAGCACCTCGTTTCGAACTTAAAGTCCAGGGCACGGCACGGGAGCACAACAGACAGCAACGCATGTAGCACAGCAGCACACAACACACAACACACTCACCATCACACCAGCTTACATGACATATGTACATGACTATATGTTTTACTTTTTGTTTCTGTAAATCCCTAATGATGTTTAGTATACACACATACAACTGTCCATTTCATTTTTTTCATGTATTTCCCACTCCAAACTGACCACACACACATCTAAATGTGAAGTAAGGGATAATGTATAGCGAGCTGGTGACTGTTGAAAAATAACTCGCGACAGGGGAATAGAACCCCGACGCGCAACGTCCATTCCCAGTCATGTTCCATTATCTTGCTTAGAACATGGCTTACTTCTTCTAGTTGTGCTCCTGGCCCTGCGATTTTTTTTTTTTTTGCTGGGGACATGTCATTTTTTAGCCAAACATCAAGCGTTTTGTCCTCTCCAAAAATGTTAAAAGTGATTTCCTGAAAATGCTGCATTTTGCCATTCCAATCCTATTTGGCTTGTGTGGACTAACCTTAACTGATTCTGATGCTCCTCAGTCTAAGGCCGTTGCTATGGCGTCCCGAGCAGCAGGGCAGCAGTGATACCTCAAGAAATAAACACCGCAGAATTTTGTTGATTGACCAGTCGGAATCACGTATTTAAGAGTGCCATGTTCTAAGCAAATTTACTCTTCTGTGCTTTGGAGGATATGTATGGAAAGAGCAGTGTCTCTGCTTTCATTTGAGATGAATGGTGTGTGTTTTGCATAACGTGGCATCGCAGTAAAGCCTGGGATATTGATGCTGTATGGAGTTTGATTTGTTGTCATTTATTTAGGCTAGTTGTTGTTTGAGCTGTGTCTGGGGCATGTAAAAACGGTTTATACCGCCTTGTAGCTCAGGTTCTGCTGTTTAATTTGATGTGCAGCATATTCTTCGTGATTAGTCCATTGTTCACACTGTTTGGAAAGTCGTTCTCAAAGTTGGGGGATTTTCGGGTTTAACAGGTGTTAACCAACAATTTGGGCAACCCAATAACAGAAGACGAGTGCTCATTCTTTGTCAAAATACGTTAAAATCAGGTGGAATTATTCAAAAGAATTGTTCCCACTTTAGGGCTAAAGCCCTTGATGTTTTCAACTCCTAGCAACGCCCCTGATGCTAGCGCTGCTTCTTTAATTTACAAAACAGAGTTAAATCAACACTATGGGATTAGACAAATAACACTGCTCTGAGTTACATTTTGTACCATTAGAGTAGTGTTAGTTTCACTCCCTAAAGTGTCAAGATATCTACACTGAAAAATGTTAAAACTATAGAATTACAAAATAATAATTCCAACAATAACAATAATAATTTTCCAAAAAAACATTTATTTTTTTAAAACTTTTTTAACTTTTTAGTTATAGCCTACAGTTTAAATACTGTGAATGAAGATATAATGTATAAACTTTCATCTGAAACATTGTATGAACTCTGAATATTAAACAGTAGGCTATATAAAATTTAAGCTCAGATACTTATACACCTTTCATCACTTTGTAATACTCTGAATGCATGATGATGGTAATTTAAATTCTCTGTGAATAGCTTGTTTGCCCAAAAAAATGTTATCTTCAACCAAAAGTATATCACTTATTTGACAAAAGACGGGCATGTCTTCCTCCATTATACTACAAATAACAAGTTCAGGATAGTAAATATGTTCAACTTTTAAATGTGAAACCAACTACTGACTGCTGGGGAACAGTTACCGACACTTGAAATAGATGAGCATTGTTTTAGCCTCTTACTCACAGACTGACAGTGGTACTAGCTGGTTAAGCAGTCTGGCTCTCAACTCTCTAACTCTGGGTGACTCTTTCATTTTCCCCACATCAATGTTATACATTGTTGTCTGCAGGAATGTGTAAAAATTCAACAATGCAGCATCATAAGACAAATTAAACACAAAATGTGCTTTAAAAAGGTCATCAAATGCCGCAAGGGTGCGGTTTGCCTGGCATGAGACGAGATGCTTATCGACGGTGATGTAGAAGCTGTCAATCTTGCTCTTCTGATGTCCAACAGCAAGAAGGTACGGCTGCCGACCTTGCTGGTTGCGGAGATGCTCCTCCAAACTACAGCATGACTAGAATTGAGACAAGAAAACTGAAATTTGACACAAGAATAATATGCAGCCACAGAGAAAACTACATTATAAAAGTGAATATTCAAACATCTTCTCACTGGCTAGTGTAAGATGTAAATGCCTACAAAGACTTTATTTCAATCTCATCCCCTTTTTAACAACCTTTATTTACACATGTGGCTAACAAGGTCACATGTGAGAAATTATTGTTAACATCTCAATTTAATTACCTTATGAAAGACCAGAGGTCTCTACACTGCAGCACATGCACTAATTTTTGGAGACTTCAATCCCCCTGGCGGCGGTGGAAAAAGATGTATCATTAACAACAGGGAGGCCATTTCTTGGTCGTAGCCTGAGGACAAAGAGTCACAAAGAAACTGAGAAAGTAGTCGCAGACCAGCTGTGTGATTTTCTCCACAATAATAATTTATTTGAGGAATTTCAGTCAGGATTTAGAGTGCATCATAGCACTGAGACAGCACTAGTTAAAATTACAAATGATCTTCGGCGTTTGACACAATTGACCATCAAATTCTGCTACAGAGACTGGAACATTTAATTGGCCTAAAAGGTTCTGCACTAAGCTGGTTTAAATCTTATTTATCTTATCTTTTTTAGTTTGTTTATGTTCATTATGAATCATCCTTACTTACTTAAGTTTGTTTTGGAGTTCCGCAAGGTTCTGTGCTTGGACCAATCCTATTTATTCTATATATGCTTCCTTTAGGTAACATCATTAGAAATCACTCTGTAAATTTCTATTGTTATGCGGATGATACACAGTTGTATTTATCAATGAAGCCAGAAGAAACTAATCAATTAACTAAACTTCATAACTGCCTTAAAGACATAAAAACCTGGATGACCGCCAATTTACTAATTTACTAAATTCAGACAAAACTGAAGGCCCCAAACAACTCAGAGACTCTTTATCTGATGACACAGTTTCTCTACATGGCATTGCTCTGGCCTCTAGCGCTACCGTAAGAAACCTCGGAGTAATATTTGATCAAGATTTGTCTTGTAATTTTCATTTAAAACAAACCTCACAGACTGCATTTTTTCATCTGTGTAATATTGCGAAAATTAGGCTTATCCTGACCCGAAAAGATGCAGAAAAATTGGTCCACGCTTTTGTTACCTCAAGGCTGGATTACTGTAACTCCCTATTATCAGGTAGCTCTAATAAGTCTTAAA